TGCTGAAAAGCTTCTAACATTGCATCTTTCCTGTTCAGATTTACACTAGATAAAAAGACAAACCTATTACGAATATATCTGTCAAAGCTAATTCTTTACTACTTACAGTGCAGCCATTAGATAGCTAGAAGCTTATAAAAAGTACTCAAGGTTTCTAAACAGAACCAATTTAATATAGCTAGGAAAAAAAAAAAAAAAGAGACAAGATTTTGGGTGTACAAGCTGTTTTCTTAAAGGCATTTAAAAGACATCACCACTCCTTACAAACTCTGCCTCCCCAACATCCTTATCAATATTTTTGTATCACACCTGCAATGATATACCATGAAATACGTGATGTGTGAAACTGAGAAACATGATTCAAGCTGCCACATGCAGAGTTGTTTTTTATGCAGTCCTGCACTGAATGCACCCAGGAAAAGCTGGAGGGAAAATTGACATAACAGGTAGTCTCATCAGGTGGTTCGAAAGACTAAGAAAGGCTAACTAAGAAGTTTAGCTTTCTCACCCTAATAAATCCTATTTGTAATCAATGAAAAACATCTCAATCCTTTCCTGTTTAGTGTGGAAAATGAGGGGAGCTTTTTTGTTCATTAAAGAGATGTCTATCAATTTTAACTCACAATACATTTTTAACCCACCCACTAAGTGTACTAATGACCTTTACAAAAATTACTTCAGTCTTTCTCTATCTCTGTGAATGAGATACTCCCACTTCTACACAGGAAAACTGGGCACACAGAGGTTTACTGATTGCAAGACACACTTCATTCTTGATAATAAAGACTGGCTCCACAGATCAGTTTGTTCAACAATATGTATTACCACTAGTCTTGCAAAAAGCTCTGAATGGGCAAGCACAGGCAAGATGAGGAGCTGAACATATTTGAAGTGCAGGTAAGCCTAGTGGTTTTACTGCACTGCCCTGTGAATCCATAATTGTCAAGGTCCTGTCTTATTTTGACTACTAACGCTCTCCAACTCTCCATATTTGCCAGACACTTCTCCACGTCTCACAACATTTAAACCGGGAGAGTTCTAATGTGTTATGTTATGATTGACTATTTCACACTATTGTTTCCACTATTCATTGGAAGTTTGAAGGAAGTTATTTTTTATGTCCTTTGAAGCTGTTATTTTAAGCCAAGTTGACAGTGTTCATAATATTTCAAACAAGCTGACAGATCGTTCTGCTAATGCGCACTGTAAATGCACATGTACGTGAACCTTAAAGAAAAACCATGCACTGACAAAATAACATACGTGAGAAAATAACGCAGATTTATGACAAAACGAAAAAATCCTCCGAGGCAGGTGATTATAATGGATCATGATCATGCTGAGGAAGTTTGGAGAAAGGCAAGGCAGAGCCAGAATGCATTTGGCTAACTTCAGCATCAGCAAGTTACCAATGTCAGTGTCCTGAAGACAAAAAAAGTCTTCCTCTAAAAGCTCCAAAAGTGTTTTTACTCTCACTGCATACAGCTGGGGGATTTGGAATTGCACCAAAAAAACAGTGGAAGCAGAAAACTGAATGAAACTCTCATGGTGTGCATTACTAGTCAGCACTAAAGAAGGGAACTGATCACACACCAAAATCATTCCCTAGGCACAACAACATAATTAAAAAAAAAGCAGATACTGAGGTGGCTGTAAGTGGCTTGGAAAAAACAACTAACTGATGACCCTAACTTACAATCAACAGCTACTTTGACTTCAGCAGGGATGATAAAACATGGGATAGAAAAGATCTTGTTTCTTTCTAAATAGAAAGAAAATATTCAAGGAATTATTTAATCACGCTATTCTGGACCAAGTTCTACCCTACTGAGCAGCAAACTCAAGTGACACCACCACACAACAGGTTGATTTTTAATTTGTTTGCACTTTGCCTACACATCAGTAGGATTCCTGTAGTCAGGTGTAAAGCTATCAAGTCATGTGTGAAGCAGAGGATAATAAACCTATAACCAGCAGTCAGACACTATGTCTGCAGTGGCAAGGAAGATTTCTGGGACCTTCATCAGGGAGCTTCTGCCACCTTGCAAAGTGGCATGGGCTTTGTGAACCCCCAGAGGAAGAGTGGCTTCCTATCAGCACTGCAGCAGTGTGCCTGCCTCTAATGAGTGCCCCTTTTGCTGTAGGAAAGGGCATTATCCCTCCTTCCTATCACGGTATCCACTTCTGCCCTTGGTACTGCTGTTTTCATGACCCTTCTCCTGTGGGAAGGCACAGGCTTTACGTTTTCACTGGAGCAAAGAGAAACTTCCCTCTCTCTGAAGTAGGCTCTGCGTTTGACAGGAGTGAAAACTCCTGTCAAAAATAAACGTGTCTAAAAACCTTCACAGACACCACGATAAGAGGCACTATGGATAGTACATAGTGGGAGCCATAGCATCTAGTAGGAACATCTTCCTGGATTTAGGTGGTGCTGTTACCCTCATATCCACTAACAGTGGTATGGGCATTCAACAGCAGGGCTAAAATGTCATTTTTTATTCTTGCTTAAACACAAAAATGAATTCAGACAGTCAAAACAGGCCTTTATAGGATCAGCTCTGGCATGACAATACGGTCAACAAAGTTACAGTTAAACACCTTCCTCAATCTGTCCTTCCTCCTGCTACATATGTGGCAAGTCCATAGTCTAAAATAATGATGCCAGAATCATTCCTAACTGATCAAGTATAAGAAATTATAGCAACTATTTTCTGCTGTCAAACACTAGTGATTTTTGTTACAGACTCAATAGAGCCTTCTCAAGTTCAACACAAATGCTGCCTTAATTCTGACTTGAAACAGAGCTGTACTGTAGTACAGCAAAATCTGTGTGTACAGCTCTACACTTGTTTCAACAAAGTCAAATGATATTTGCTGTATGGGAATGAAAAAATTTCTTCTTCAAAAGTCAGAAGTTAGTATTTCTACTATATATTTCTTCAAGCAGCTTAACCCTCACATCTTGATTCTCCAGAGCTTTACCTGTTTTCCTGTGTCACCTACAGTTCGTACCCCCAAAACTGCACCACTTTGTCATGACACAACATTTTCTTGTTCGCCTTTGCAAGCATCTCTGCATCCTGTCAAGCCAGTAAGTGCTTTCATCATTCCAGTGCAGGAGTCAATCCCATCCTCCTCTTTCTAAATCCTACTTTGAACACATCCTCCTTGTAATTTTTTTTTTCTTATCCCCCCTCAACCCCCAAATGTAAGATGAAGGCTTTCTCTTTTTTTTTTTTTAATTATTTCATCAAGATGCCTTTTGAAATGCCTGATTTTAACTATACACAGAGATTTCCAGAGGGTACCAGCAGTTTTACATATGAATGCCACTAAAAAACAATTTACACTGCTCCTTTACACAAAAATCTTGCACATTTCTTAATGACCCCAACAAAAGCAAAGACAAAAATTCTTTGGCTTTAAAAATAGAAATCCAAGGACACTACCAACTTCAGTTGCACTAGGAAATCACTTTAGTCTTGCATTGTTATACAGGGGTCACCAGTTGCAAATTGCACAAGATGCACAGGATACATCTTTAAATTATTCATAATCACCTTAAACTGCACTCAATCAGCACTGCAATATGTCATCTTATAGACACACAAAAATTCAAAAGGAAAAGCACATGAAAAAGCAGACTACTAAGAGCACTATTGTTAAAACTACACCAGAAAGCTTAATATTTCAATACTGTATATGTTAAAATAAACAACATACACAGGTGATGAAAGCCAGTCTCTGAAAAATTTATTATTCTGTTAGAACAAGTTTACACTTAGGATGAATTCTCAAGCTTCATGCCATTAGGAAGTTTTACTGGGTTTATAGTGGAAATAAAAACAGAAATAAAAATAGATGACAATCCCAAAATACAGGGTGTACTTTGAATATGATCACGGGCTTTCTTTTCTTTTTACATCTATACATTTCCTCTTGCCTCCAGCAATCAAATGTTATTCAGTCTTCATGAAAAGTTCCCTAAATTGCCTGTTTTCCTTTTTAAAATCAAATGTTTTGAAAGATGAAACTGAACAGACCAATGTAACTTGTATTAGTTCAGTATTATTTCCCCAAAGCCATCCTATTGGAATTGTACAGCTTTCAAAGATTTATGATGTCAGTTTGATTCAAAGGATCCTGCGCGCCAC